GGACTTTTTCGCAGCATTTCAGACAACTCTGTTCCTCCCGTGGGGGCGCCAATCGGTACTCATCACTGCCCCCGTCCTGACAACAACAACACCGTAGCAACGAATTCAACTCAATTTTGATTTAGATCTTTCCGATTGACTTATTGATGTAGATGGATGCAAAAATGTCGGATGGCAGAAGACCAATAATTTCAGTGGGCGGACTAGATGAAAGCGGTTCTGAAAACGAATTTGATTCAAGAAATATAGGTGCAGATGCATCAAGTATTCTTAGCGAGGAAGATGGAGTGTTTGGAGATGTAAATGGGAAGCTTCAGGCTGCTACGCACGACTGGCTCAACATGACCTACATTATCATTTATCTTCAAGGTGTAGGATCATTACTTCCTTGGAATTTCTTCATTACCGCTCGGGGATATTTTGAAATGAAGTTCAAAGGAGATGCCAATATACAGAACATGTTTGAAAGTGCCTTTTCTGTAGCAGCAATGATACCAAACGTTTTGTCTCTGCTTGTTAACGTCTTCCTAACAAAGCAAGTGAATCGAAATCTGAGAATGCTCACGTGCCTTTTCGTAACTCTCGTGTGTTTCATATTAACCGCAGCCTTTGTAAGAATAGACACATCATCATGGACGAAAGAATTCTTCGGAGTAACCATTGGAATTGTTGCACTTATAAATATGGCCTGTGCAATTTACGGGGGAACATTTTTTGGAGTTGCAGGAGTTATAGGGCAAAAGTACACCCAGGCAATGATGGGTGGACAAGGGCTTGGTGGGACTTTTGCAGCCCTGGCAAGCATACTTTCTTTAGTAATAGGGAGTAAACCAGAGGACAGTGCATTTGGGTACTTTTTAACTGCGGTCATGGTAACTCTAGTATGCCTTGTTGCATACTTCATCTTTTTCAGGCTTGCTTATGTCAAGTATTGCTTGAACAGAAATGAATTCAGATCATTGCGTGGGAGCCAGGCTAGCACAAAGCCATCAATCAATGCATTAACTGCAAGTTCCAGCAGTCTTTTAAGTGTTACTAGCTTGGGAAGCAGTTTTAGCTCTACACAATATCCCATCAGAGAGAAAACACCATACTTACAGATTCTGAAGGATTTGTCTCCAATGTCATTGTCAGTTTCATTTGTGTTTGTGGTCACACTCTCACTGTACCCTTCAGTTGTGTCTGGTATTCAGTCAGTAAATAAGGACAGTGGTGATGACTGGACAAACTCATTGTTTTCACCTCTGGTTTGCTTTCTGTTGTTTAATGTTGGTGATTTAACAGGGAGAACTTTAGCTGGAATTGTCCCATGCTTCAGCGAAAAAAGCATTTTGTTGCGGATCCTTTGCATTTCACGAGTGGTATTCATACCACTCTTTGCATTATGTAATTACAGTCCAGATCACCGAAGATTCCCTGTCTATCTAAAACATGATGTTTATCCAGTTATAATAAATGTTTTCTTCTCTATCAGCAATGGATATCTTAGCAGCCTTTGTATGATGTATGGTCCCAAGTTGGTCAACCCAAAGTACGCTGAAGTTGCTGGAACAATAATGGCACTGTTTTTATCGTGTGGGTTGGCTCTGGGAGCTGGTCTTTCATTTGCAATAACAGCAATAATATTGCATTGAAACTGACATTTTAATGCATAAACAGATATTATCAAATTACATAAAATAAATGAATATACACATATGACTGAATCACATAGAGTTTTCCAAAATGTGATTGATTTTGCTATTTTCATCCAATTGTATTAAATTTGCACATATAACCATCGGGGTTTGAGATGTATTGCAGAAGACCTTAAAGGCAACATTGTTCTATCCACAAATTGGAATGACAGTAGAAATTTTGAAGTAAACAATTATTTTTTGATAGATGTTTATTAACAGTTGTGCTCAAAAGTGAGGGATTATTTGGATTTGGGAGAAACCCTCTAAATTAACATTCAGTATATATATACTACTTTTGTTGATATATTAAAGGTGATCAATGGATGATTAAGTGGTGCCATCTTTCAAAAGGCAAATAGCCAATCAGTGAGCATAATAACACTCCCATACTTATTGATTGGTTAATATTGGTTAACAGATGACTTAAGTTATTTTAATATCGGTCATGCCTTCAAGTTCTATCTCAGTACAGTGGGATTTAAATTCCTTGTGTCTCCAAACAACTTGAAACTGAGACACCAGAAATTGGTACAAGTATAGGTCATGTAGTTCCGTTGTTAGATCATATTAGTTCCCTATTTTATGTGTCGCCATTCTTTACTAATTTAACACCATTTTGTTGTTGGGATTATATTGAAAGTGTTAATTCTGTGATGTTTAAAAATGTTAGTAGAGATTGAAATTCAATATTAACTATTTTAACTATTCTACCATGCAATTCTTCTGTTTTTTGCTCTATGTGTTTTAAAGATATTTAGAAAAAAATAATAAGGTAAACTTTTTGATTCATAAATTGTTTATTTTCAATGAATTAATCAACTCCCCTTGTGTTTTCATCTATCCTCAAATTTGTTTTTGTGTGTCTTTCAAGAAATATTTATGGTCAGAAAGCAAACACCTAAGCTTACTAAAGAAACTCTGTTGTGTGGCTCGCTTCATAAAGCTTAGAGCTAGGACAAAAGAACAATGATTTGGTGGTAAGAAAGGAGTGTGCTCTTGCAAACTGAATAAAAGGCTTAAGTGATTGTTCAATTTACATTATACCTATTATGAAGGTCTTTACTAGTTTGGACATCATCACTGAGCCACTCTTTTGCTCCCAACTCAATTAGGGCCAAATAAAAACTATGCTAGCATACTGAAGCTCACGTATCTACTCCCTGAGGAAGAAATGAATTAACAAAGCTAACAAATGAATTCTTTGAATCTGAGTAAGATAGTCCCCTCAGAAGACATTGTGACATCCCTCATCAAATCAAGTCTTCTGTTATCACAGGAAGCAAGGATTGGCCATTGGTTAATTGGCACAAGTCGCTCCACCTAACCTATATAAACCCTAAACCTCTAAATACATCTTAATTAACTCAAATAGCTAAGCAATATAAATTCTGGACAAGAAAAGTTCACTTTTCCCAAAAATTTCACCTTTGCCCCCCCCTATTGTACTACCTTGGCTACGATACTGATAAAGTGCATTACTTCTCCTTCAAATAGTTGCTTTTTTGGACTCACACTTCCAAATTCATTCAAAACCATTAATCAAGACTTTAACTGAGCTAAAATATTGATATCATGTTTTAAATTGCCTTAAAATCCCATTCTTTGCTTTTTGGGCTTGACATAAGGAAATATTTTGAAGTGATCTTTGGCTTGACTCCCTTTGAATTTTTTGCTACCGGGAATGCTCCTGGGTCAAGATTTATAAAATTAGTCAAGTAGAGAAATCAAGCAAGTAGAAAAATAAAATTGTATGTAAGGTCATGAAAAAATAGAACGAAAAAATCAGTATTTTTGTAATATTTGTTCTTAATAAGCTTCTTCAATTCCAGCGTTTGTTTTCTATTTGATATTAAATCGAAACTTAAAAGTTTAAAAATAAAGACAAAAAATTGTAAAATTACGACAAAAATGATGTTTCTGAAGCTTTTGTTCGCTAATCATATTTAATCGGGCAGTAAGGAGTTAAAGATTTCTTAAATGGAAAATTTGGTAGCTGGTGAGCAATGAAATAAAGTATCTGGAAGACAAATTTCAAACAACACCCTACAGTTTTCCATATGATCAGCAGAAATCTATGTCTCTGTTATCGTTTGTGTAAAAATTTTGACCATACCTCAGAGGCTGGTCACAATGGGCAAACGTTTTTCCAAACAGAACTACTGTCACATCAACAAAGACAAGATAAATCTATACATATAATAGATCAACAATTCAGAAACTCTGCGAGAGACATACATATACAGCACTTGGTCTCATGTTAAAATCGAGGGCACAGGGGCCGTTGCCCCACTTTTCAGAAGAAGAGATTAAAATGTTCTTTTTGCCTACTTGTGCCCCCTTGAACAAGTGATTAGTTCTCCTTCAGTCAGTTTTGTAGAAAAAGAGGCAAGAATTATTGACTTCAAGTACAATGAAATACATAAAAATGATATGCATTCTAATAGAAATGAAAGTGGCTTAAGCCACAAGCATTCGCAGGCTAAAAAGACAGCAATTAGAATCGGGCATGAGATTTCTTCGTCTATTACGTTGTTACTCTAGAGTTTCGAATTTTTGGTTTGCCCTCCGCATTCTACCCATTTCAGTGGCAGAAATTCGTTAAGAGCGAGGGAAGCGAAACCCACAAAAACAAGCAAATTTGCCGATAAACGACAAAATCTACCAACAACAGTGCTGAAAACTATTTTTTAGCCGACAATTTGGCAAAAGCTAGGGGCCGTCGCCCCCCATACCCCCACCACTGACCTATTCCCCAGCTATCGACAGCTACCCATTTACCCTGACCTTTCTATTTTGCTCCTGCACCCATGATAATTCATTAGTTAATTGTTTACTTGATTTTTTTCTTCCTGCAAACACTATACGCTATTCAAACAACTCGATACACTAAATGCCAGATAGTGATGTTGCTGGTTGCTATGACTGTGTTATGTGACCTATGTCGTCGTTGTTGTTGTTCAATGTCCTACCCTTACAAGAACTTCACGAAACTTCGTAGACAGGGGGCAGTGAAATTGCGTGCTCGTTAGAAGGTTTTAGAATGGCAAAGAAAAAAGAAGGTATTAAATTCCATTTTATCTGATCATGCGTTTTGCACTAGACAGCTAGATCAGGTGACGTTCGAAACGTTTGTTTGGTCGCGTGATCTAAATATATGATGCAGAGCTTCCCGTTTCATATTTCAAGAAGTTGATGATTGAACAACAACAGGCTTAAAATCTGCTCTGAAATGGGGGATTCATTAGAACTCGATCTGGAAAATTGGATGGCACAACTGCCAACAAACCTTCAATGTGTTCCTGTCAATAAGCTGGCAATACCGGGATCACACGATTCGGGGGCATTTTATCTTGACAAGACCTCGAAAATAGCTCCTGATGAGTCAAAGGCCATTACAACTCTTGTAAGAATTTTTGGTCAATGCGCAAAGAATATCGTCTACAAATGGTCAATAACACAAACATTGAGTCTGCACCAGCAGTTAGCGAATGGTGTGAGGTATTTTGATTTGCGTGTTGCATATGAAGATGCCTCTAAGGAGTACTGTTTTGTACATGGGTTGTGCATCGAGTTCCGCTATTTAGCGTACGACATTCGATTAGACATTCAGTTAGACATTCGATTAGACATTCGGACTAAAATGGCTCGGTATAAGAAATCTGTGCTAGAAGGTTAAAAACAATGTTAATAACATTAAAGTATACCTTCGTAAGTGTATTATCGTATGCTTCGTTTTTGTTGTTACGTCTTGTAGAAGCTGAACTGAGCATCATAGTGTAGAATTTGGACTTAGGCCATGCGTTAGACATTCGCCGTCGGGAAAAAAATTATTTTTACGCAATAACTTTCTCGTTCTTAGGAAGATTTTCCCGAATGCTTGCAACGTAACTTTTCCAATCCCATTATACATGTTAACAGGGGATTCGGTAAAATTGCGATCTTCCTTGAAAAATTTCTATTTCGTTTCCCATACTGAAGCCTTACAACTGGAAAACTGAATCCGTATTTACGCAATAACTTTGTCGTTTCTGTATGAACTTTACAGAAACTTTATAAAACATCTTTAATGAACATACCCTTGACGTTAACGGATGTTTCGGGAACTTTTTACGACTTTTGAGAAAAAATTTTTTTCATTTTCCATACTGAAGCCTTATAAAGTGGTCAGTTTGGGGGACGTTTACGCAAAAACTTTTGTAAATCTGATTGGAATCGTCTGAAACTTCACAAAACGTCTTCATTTAACCCAAAGTTGTTGTTAACGGGGGTCTCAGCAAATAACTTTACGTTTTGAGAAAAATAATTTTTCATTTTCCATACTGAAGCCTTATAAAGTGGTCAGTTTAGGGGACGTTTACGCAATAACTTTTGTAAATCTGATTGGAATCGTCTGAAACTTCACAAAACGTCTTCATTTACCCCAAAGTTGTTGTTAACGGGGGTTTCAGCAAATAACTTTACGTTTTGAGAAAAATAATTTTTCATTTTCCATACTGAAGCCTTATAAAGTGGTCAGTTTGGGGGACGTTTACGCAATAACTTTTGTAAATCTGATTGGAATCGTCTGAAACTTCACAAAACGTCTTCATTTAACCCAAAGTTGTTGTTAACGGGGGTCTCAGCAAATAACTTTACGTTTTGAGAAAAATAATTTTTCATTTTCCATACTGAAGCCTTATAAAGTGGTCAGTTTGGGGGACGTTTACGCAATAACTTTTGTAAATCTGATTGGAATCGTCTGAAACTTCACAAAACGTCTTCATTTAACCCAAAGTTGTTGTTAACGGGGGTCTCAGCAAATAACTTTACGTTTTGAGAAAAATAATTTTTCATTTTCCATACTGAAGCCTTATAAAGTGGTCAGTTTGGGGGACGTTTACGCAATAACTTTCGTAAATCTGATTGGAATCGTCTGAAACTTCACAAAACGTCTTCATTTAACCCAAAGTTGTTGTTAACGGGGGTCTCAGCAAATAA